TTTTTGAAATTTTTTTAATTTTTGGGTTGGATTAGGTATTTTGGGCCATTTGAGGTGGTTTGGGGTTGAGGGGGAGGGGTAGGGGGTTAAAATGGAGAACCCAAAAAAAAAAAGACCGGTTGGCCCGGCCCGGCCCAGTTTGGCCCGGAACCGGAACCGCCCACCGGCGGTTCGGGCCCGGGCCCTAGTTTTCTGGCCCGAGGCCCGGCCGGGCCCAGGCCCGAACCGGGCCCGAACCTGCCCGAGTCCACCCATGTAACCATTTCCAATGTTACCCTTATCCGGTTTACATCTACATTGACTTTCATCGCCTCTGCCCAGTGCCCACTGCCGCCTGGGAGTCGATCTGTCGAGAGCTCCGGTCCCCCGTCCAGTGCCGCTGCGTCGCCTGCGCGGCCGCCGCTGACCGCGGCTGCTCGCCGCTATCAGTCCTTTGTCCTGGCATCTTGCCGGCTCGCACCTCGCATCACTCGTCTCCGTCAGCCCGTCGTTCACTCACTCCTCGTCCCGTTTCAGGTAAAAGCTAATGCTAAATTGTTAATCCCTCGATTATTTTCTCAATTCGTGTGCAAGATTTCTCCGCGTAATTCCCCATTCTTTTTTATTTGTAACCTAATTCCACTTTTCTCTTATAATGAATGATGATTATGAGATTACCAACCATTTGGTTACTGCACTGCAAATTTGCCTCCTGTTTACTGCTCGGCTGCTCAGTTCCTCGCGTTATTTAATCTGTAACCTAATTCCACTTTTCTCTTGGAAGGAATGATTATCAACCATTTGTTTACTGCCTCAATTATACCATTTGATATTCAGCCTAATCTGACTTTTCTCAATTTACTGCCTCAAATTGCTACATTTTAAAATGTTCCTTACTGCCTTATATAGGGGGTGTTTGGATCTGATTCTCAAAACTGATTCTGCTCCTTCAGGGAGCAGAAGCAGAAGCCTGGAGTGTTTGGGTGAAATTCCAGAAGCACTTCTGAAGCTCTAATTTACTCTCAGAATCAGTTTTTTTAGAAGCTGAGAGGTACCAGCTTCTGAAAACTGATTCTGATTCTGCTTCTACTTTTAAAAAAGAAGCAGAAGCAGAATCAGTTCCAAACACACCCATACTTCGCATTAGTTAATGCATACTAACTGTTTGAGCAGGTTTGAATCAATGGAAAGTGTTAATATTCTTAACTTTTGGGAAAATTCAGTTGATGTAGCAACTTTCTTATACTTTGTTAATATAATATATTTTACAATTTTACTTTTCAATGTAGTAATTTTTATTGACAAAGATATAACAGTAGAACTATCGCATTACACAAGATCATTGTGATAATTTTATTCCTAATTTATTTTCGCAAACCCAAAACATTAGGCTAGATCCGCGTCTGCCATAGGTTGGGTCCATGACAAGTTCTATATATGAATTGGCAGAGTCATATTCATTAAGAAAATGTAATTTTAAATAGATTTAAACATTGATTATTTTAAATATGGGTGGAGAATATGCAAGTCCTACGTAGAAGTTAGATCTTCTCGTGTGTAGTAATCAAACATAATAGACCTTAATGCATTGAAGTAATTGAACTGTCTGAGATTCTCATGAGAAAGAAGCACCCAACATTTCTGCTGATGAACAAACAACATGCACAAGCACAACCATGAACATGTTTCCATGTGTCAAATATTATCTTTTGAAATGCTAAACTTATCATTTTTAGAGGGATCTAAAATGAAAATGCGAGTGATGAATTTTTCTTAGTCTTTACTCTCCTAGTAGTCACAGATGAGTTACATACTTGGAGAAAGTCATGTTGTTTGAGAAATAAGAATTTGGCGGTAGTTCTATGAGCCACATCATTTATTAGGAACTAAAGATGCTGAAATTTAGGGGCAGAGTAACAGAAAAACTGAAATACCTTAAACTGTACTTAAGAACTTTAGCCTACCATTTAAAGTTCATTTGACATCTGATAGGTTATGGCACAATTGGATGGTGTGGATTTAGATATGGGACAGTCATCAACTAACAGTGCTGTCAGGAAGCCTCGAATACTGCTTGCTGCAAGCGGAAGTGTTGCTGCTATCAAATTTTCGAATTTATGCCGTTGCTTTTCTGAATGGGCAGAAGTAAAAGCTGTTGCTACGCAGTCGTCTCTACACTTCATAGACAAACCTTCACTTCCGAAGGACGTTGTTCTATACACAGATGATGATGAATGGTCCGAGTGGCAAATGATTGGTGATAGTGTGTTACACATTGAGCTTCGCCGTTGGGCTGATATTATGGTTATTGCTCCTTTGTCAGCAAACACACTTGCCAAGGTAGTATTAAGCTTTCTTTTTCTTTCAGGAGATTATTCTCTGAATTTTCTTGTGTTTGGTACATAAAATGTATTTTCCTTCACGAGATTCTTTGACTTTTTCTGGAAAAACAACTTTTCCTTTTGAAAAAGGGAATCACAAAGACATTAACCTCTAATACCAACCAAGGTTTAAAAAGGCGGGTTCGGGTATCAAGGCGGTTTGTTCCTGAGAAGCGAGGCGTAAGCCTTGAGGTGTATTGAGGCGTAAGCCTCCAAATATATAGGCATATAAAACTTAAAATAGTTAAACTAGTAACAAACAACTAAAGAAGTAAAGGATATATCCATAATTATAAGTCCAAAAAGTGTGGAACACAATCACAGACTCCCTCCGTCCCATAAATTTTCGCCAAATTTCCTTTTTTGGCCGTCCCAAAATACTTTGCCATTTCCATTTAAAATAAGGAATATGTGGCTAAAGTCATTTCTCTCTCCTCTGCACAAATTTCAACCACACGGTTTTGTTTAATTAATCTACGTGAAAGTCAACTTTGGCCAAGTTTTGTGGGATGGAGGGAGTATGAGCTAATACCAGTAAGTCTTTAGAATTCAAACACACAGACAGAAACATCAGACACAAACAGAAACATCACCACAAAAACATCACACACAAATTGAAAGATGAATAGAAAGTATACATTAAGGACTTGGGGTTTAAATGAATAAAAGACTTGTTAGGGTTTAAATGAAATAATACTTGTTAGGGTTTAGTGTGGCCACATATTTAATTAATGGACTTCTATTTGAAAAGTACTTTGGGGACCTTTTATTAAATGAAATGCTTTGGGCATTTTTTAAGTTACTGCACATTAAAAACATAGAAACAAATGAAAAACGCCTCAGGTACGCCTCAACTTTTGAGGTGTAAGCCTCTTAACCTGCGAAAAAACCTAAGCCCGCCTCACCTTGAGACGTGCCTCAAAACCCGCCTCTTAAGCGCCTTTTAAACCATGATTCCAACTCCGAAGTCTTCATGTGGTGGTTTGCAATACAAACCGACCAAGCTAAAGAGGAGCTAGTACACTTAAATGTTTTCTGTTTTTTTCTGTCAACTATAACAACTCCCTTAAGAACAGTGAGAGTCATGGGTAGTGAATTTACAAGTTTATTGTTTTGATTCGTATATCTATTGCAAGTTGTCATTTGTCAATTCTACTGTAGAGTATAACGTCTTGATGAGTTATATTATGCAGAGTTGATAAGTTATAACTACAAATGAATGTACAAGAAGACTCTTAATTTGAGACCAACATATTTCTATAATGAATTCCTATATAGAGATAGTTTTGTGTTTTGACTTGTAATTATTTCAAACTATATTTAACCTGTGGGAACACTTTTATATTTTGTAAGAATCACATTCAATTTAAAGGAAGTGTCAGCTTCTTTTGCTAAAAAGAACAATTAGACAAAAGTATTTTTGGATTTTTTTATTGGTTGGGGAGACACATGGATAGAGAATAAGAAGAGCAACTTATTCATTTCTGTGAAAACAATTTCCTCGAAAAGTATGAACCAAAACATATTTTTCCTGTAACAGAAGTACAGCCTAGGTTTTGTATTTTCCATCTGATTATGTATATATAATATGTATGATACACATGAATTGTGCTGCAAAATTCATACAGCAATTTCTGAGTTGTCTAATGACCTCAATCATGTTGCAGATTGCTGGGGGATTGTGTGATAATCTGTTGACATGCATTGTGCGGGCATGGGACTATAGTAAACCACTGTTCGTTGCTCCTGCCATGAACACATTCATGTGGACTAATCCATTCACTGAGAGACATCTCATGGTGATGGATGAGTTCGGAATTTCTCTTATCCCACCAGTATCAAAGAGACTCGCTTGTGGAGATTATGGAAATGGGGCCATGGCTGAGCCTTCTCTAATCTTCTCCACTGTAAGACTCTTTTATGAGTCTTGCACACAGTTTGGTAGTAACAACAATTCTGGATTGTGAAAACCTCTTATACTTGGGGTCTAATTAATTCATTGGAATGCTATGTGAAAATGTTTTTAGAATTGTGACCTGCAAACTCTCCATTTCAAACTATCCAACGGTATTATTTGTTGCGGGAACTATCAACAAAGCACTGGAGCGATTTGAATATCCAAGTGTTTATCTAATAATAATAATAATAGTAATAATAATAATAATAATAATAATAATAATAATAATAATAATAATAATAATAATAATAATAATAATAATAATAATAATAATAATAATAGTAATCTTTACATCTTATAAAGCTTATAATCCAGCTAAGGGCCATTTGGGTACATGAGATCTGTTATTAGGGCAATAATAATAATAATAATAATAATAGTAATCTTTACATCTTATAAAGCTTAAATCCAGCTAAGGGCCATTCGGGTACATGAGTTCTGTTATTAGGGCAATTTGGGTATATAAAATCTGGAATATATAGATCTTCATTCGGAATATATTTGGCTTCTTCCAACCTTATGTTCTTATAAATGACTAGTATCCCAATCATCCAAAATGTTGAATCCCCAACCCGAGGGTCTCTATGTCCCGACCTGACAAAACATTTGAAAGGTTTTAAGTCACGGTGGCTCACTCAATCCAATTATCCAATGATGATAGCTTTTGTGCTTGTGCATATCATAGGTCCAGTGCAAGAGCTATAACTTCAACACGAGTACACGACCATTGTGAGTCTTGATTCTCGTTCAACTTTGTTGTTCTGATGTTTCAAATACTCGCCCACCACCTGAACCACCGCCTCACTCTGGGAAGAAGAAGATGATCAAGCGGATCTCCTTTTCGGTGGCTGGTCAAATTGATGTTTCAAGAAATTTCTATTCGACTGATTTCCCTTTGTTGGTTGCTGGTCAAACCAATTCTCCCTTTCCGGTGGCTGGTGAAGCCGGATCTTTTAGCTATACTTTTTTAATTTCTCTTTGGAGTAGCAAGAACATCTGCAAGGCTGTTAGACTAGACTACATTATTGCGGGATTAGCGATCTGGAAGGATTCACTGAATCTGTTTCGTTCTATGTCTCATCCCATTTTAGTCTCAGACTATTCATTCTCTTGTATTTTTGCTATCGTTTAATAATAAATTAGTTTAAACAAAATACTTCCTCCGTTCTTAAATAAATGCAATGGTCAACATTTCATACCTGTCGAGACACAACTTTGATCATTAATATAAATGATTTTGTATTAGTAAAAAATTTTAAAAAATTAGATTGTGAAAATTTACAATGAGACAAGTTTAACAATATTTTTTTTTATAAAATAATATTATTATATTAATAAATAAAACGTAGTTAAAATAGAATATGTGAATAATGTAAAAGTGTGACATATTCATGAGCAAAGGGGTGGACATATTCATGAGCAAAAGAGCAACGTCGGGGTGGGCATATTTATCCGCCGCGGGCATCCTAAAAAGTATAAACGAACCAAAACCATGCGCAGATTCAGGGCTGTATCCGCCATGGGCAGCCTTTCACTCCCATGTCACACCGTCTTCACACTCACCCACTTCCCCGCCTTCTCTTATCCGCGAGTTCACCCTTCTCACATCATTTCTTATTCCCGAGCGAAGTCTGTAATACAGCCTCTGCGCCCACTATCAACATCTTCGTCCTCTGCAACTTCTGTCATCTCATCGCCTCCTTTCTCGAGATCGGAGCACCCCGTCGACCCTAAGTACCTCTCATGCTCACTACCGGATAAGAGTCCTCTCAAGCTGGCAGTTCTGGTTAGCGGTGGGGTTGATAGCAGCGTCGCTCTCCGCCTCCTCCACGCCGCAGGACACTCCTGCACAGCATTCTATCTAAAAATATGGTTCCAGGTGTGCTCACGTGTGTATTGAAGTTATACTTTGAATCAAATTTATGTTTTCCGGGTAAAGATTGAATCTTTTTGAGCAAATTTATGCTAAAAAGTACGGGTTCATAACATTGAGTTCAACCCCAGTAATTTCTGGATTTCCATCTCTCCATTTCTCTTCATAGGAAGGCTTTGAGAACTTCTGGTCGGAGTGTCCATGGGAGGAGGATCTAAAATATGTAAAAGCTGTCTGTGACCAGGTTCCACTCTACCCTTTTTGCTATGCCTTTTTAATTGGTCATCCATTAGATCACATCACTTCCTTTCTAAATTTAAATAACACTGGAATTCAGGTTGACGTCCCTCTGCAAGTTGTGCATTTGACTGATGAGTATTGGAATAATGTGGTATGTTTAAACCTTTATATTATATTACCCGCAACATTTAAGTTTTCTGATATTCTTTTGATGGTGTTAAATGTATTTGTGGTTTTGAATTGCTTATAAAATTAGTTTGTGGGGGCCTGGATGGGGTTATGCGGAGCAAATGAGGGCTTAAGACGGGTAAAGTTGGAAAAAGACTATGATTGCAAGAGAAGTTTAGCCCATTGATACAACTAGATGGGGGTTTAAAATGCACCTCTGGATATTGGAGTTTTTTTCTTTACAAGGATTGATGCTTTTCAGGTATCATACATTATCGATGAATATAGATGTGGACGGACTCCAAATCCAGATGTCCTGTGCAATACAAGAATAAAATTTGGTTTGTATTTCTGTCACAAAAGAGCTATTCACTTACTTGGTACTTCCCCATTTTTTCACAACTTCATTTAGAAGAGGTTTGTTTAATTTTTAGGTGCATTTATGGACGCAATAAGTGGAATGGAATTTGACTTTGTTGCTTCTGGACATTATGCAAAGATTGTTCATGCGTCTTCTGATCAACCACTCCAGCCTTCTGTTCTGGAATTGTCAAAAGATGTGGTATGCATGTCTATAAGCTTTTAGATTATTCTCTTGACCATGGTTATAAATGTTGTCAAAGTCTATCATTAGCATGCAAGATACCATTATCATCATCATTATCATTTCCCCAGTGCCGCAAAGGCTCCCACCTACGGTGGGGTAAGAGGGGGTCGGATGTACGCAGTCTTACCCTTTTACTAAAGCACAAAGAGCCTGTTTCCAGATAATCCATGGTGAAAAACGTGTCGAAAAATGTATGGACTGACTATTGCTTTATTCCATCATATTCCCAAGACAAAAATAACGAGTCTTTGGCTGGCTCCATTGGAAATGATGGAAAAAGCATGCAAGATACCATATGTCCAAAATACCATCAACATAAAATCAAGAAAGCATTCTTTTTGGGTTAAAAGATACTCCGTAGTTGGTATTTTATAAATAATAAAGCATATAATATTGATTTTCCATCTCCCTAATCTGCTGTATCTTTATTCTCATTTAAAGCGAAGTAGTTTTAAGAAGAGGGTAAAAGCTAATCTGTTAATGCCAAGCTAGGTCTTCGCGTATATTGCTACATTTTCCCAATGTTTGAGGATATCTGGTGAGCTTCTTAAACCCGTGTGTTTAATCTTTAAACAACTGTTGTTGACTTATTGTGAAATGGGGGAGTAGAACTTAAACTAACCAAATTATCGTACGGTAGCTGGGTTGTTTTTCCAGCTATCATAATTATTGTTCTTCTTTTTATCTCCCAACCACGCCCGTAACAAACACTTAAACCTCACTAGTAGCTTAGTATCTGGCTATGGGTGTCAAACTGATTCCAAAGCTACCATATGCATATGAACATTGCAATAAGTGATATTAAGGGTTTGTTTGGATCACATAGAATTCCAGGGTAAGAAAACAGGAAGGAGAACATGGAGAGAAATTGGAAGGAAAGATAATTTGGAGGAAAATAAAAGAAAATATATAACTCAATAATTATTTTAGATGAATGTTATTACTCATTTTATTAATTTATGTCTACTCCTACAGATTAAGAAATCTAAATATGTTACGAAATGAAACTATCAAAGTAACAATCTATCTCATTTTCTTATGCGAATTTGTAGGATAAAACCTAAGGTGAAAACAAAACTTTCTTTGATACTATTTTCCTATCCCCAGTATTTTACAGTTTATACTGGATCCATATACACCTTAAATGAGGAGTTAAATCCAGCAAAAATAAAATAGAAAAGGATTCATTATATATTTGTTTACAACGTGTGAACTTGCGGTGTATTTTTCTATTGATATTATTGCATACTTATATTCTTTGATACCTTGGACTTGTTATTCCTAGTCAATTAATCATTAGTGTCTGTTTAGTGTTCTACTGAGCTCAGGTCTTCATTTGTCATATATCTGTTGTAGGTAAAGGACCAAACATACTTCCTATCACATCTCTCACAGTCTCAACTTAAGCGACTTATTTTCCCTCTTGGATGTATTCCGAAGGTTAGGTGAGATCAATATTAATCATAAACAAGAATTCATTGAATATATTTTTATAAAAACTTTTCTTGATATATTTGATATCTGCAGGAAGAGGTATGCAAACTAGCGAAGTTATTTGATCTACCAAACCAGGACCGTAAAGATTCACAAGGAATATGCTTTCTTGGCAAGGTTTGTGTTACTTTCTGAAAAGACCATATTTTAATTATAACATTAAGCATTCAGGTGGTCCATCTTATTTCCTTCTCCGCCTTCCTTTCGCTTCTGTTTGCTTCATAAGGAGGGAGGATGGGAAAGTGGATATGACTTACACATTATTTTAGGTGCAATGTTTGGTTCAATGGAGGGGTGATTATGACTTACACATTATTTTAGTATATATAAAATATTTACTATAATTAAACTTGTTTCTTCCCCTCTCCGGTTTTGTTGGATAAACTTTTGTATTTAACTTGTTTCTTCCCAATTTATCCGTTTATGCATCATTTCACCTTTTACTATAAATGGATCCGTAGTTATTTTTTCTTCCTTCTAAAAGTCTACAATTGTAAAACAACAACTATATCCTTTATTCTCTTGAAAGTCGTGGCAAACCCAAAAATCTGAATCTATTCTACGTCTTGGAACAAAGGTAGTGCACTTTTTGTTGCAATTTAGAATATACTCAATATAGTAATCTATATGTATAACGGTCAGTGGCAGATTTAGAATTTATTTTTTTAAGTGTTCAATGATCTTACAATTAAAATTTTAAAGAAGAATAAATATATTTACACATGTATACTTACATCTTTTATAAAATTGTTGATGTTCATGTGAACACCTTGGAATAAAGCAGCTCCGCCACTAATAACGGAATGACAATAATGTAGATAAATAAAAGGTTAGGAAGAAATTCAGAAAAAAGTGTCCTACGAAATACCCCAAATAAGGGGAATGTGATATGCGCAGTGTGGGTTTTGTAGGAGTCTATAGCTCATCCACTTTCCTCCCTACCTCCCCCACCCACGAAATCCCCCACTTTCTCCCTTCCCTTCTTCAAAAACCTCTATCAAACAAGCGACTTGGCACTACTAAACTTGGGAGTTGACTCCCCATTTACCTGATAAAGCCATCTAGGTTGTCAAAGGACAAGTAACAATTTTAGCTAGGACTTGTATGTCTGTCACTATTTTGAAGAAGTTACTTCTCTCACAAAAAAAATATTTCAAAGTATATTTTTATAGTTCATCATCTTAGTTTATGTCAATTGCTCTACAGATAAAGTTTTGTGATTTTGTTGCAAGACACATCGGGGAGGTAGAAGGGATTATATTAGAAGCTGAAACAGGGGATTATCTTGGAAAGCACAGAGGGTTTTGGTTCTACACTATTGGTCAACGACAAGGTCTACGGCTTCCTGGAGGACCATGGTATGATCTTTCTAGAACGTCTTCTCGTACCATTTTTTATGGCCTCAGCCTTGGGCTCTTGGACCTCTTACTATTCTTTGTTATTATATACTACATCTGTCCCTTTTTAGTTAACCATATTTGACTTTTCGAGTCAATAATGGTACTTTGGTCATTCATTTTAACGATTATAATTTGCAAAAGTTATACTCCGTAAATTTTATACTTTTATAATACTCCCTCCGTCCAATAAAACTTGACCAAATTTCCTTTTTTAGCCGTCCCAAAAAACTTTGCCATTTCCATTAAAAGCAACAAATATGTGGCTAAAATTATTTCTCTCCTCTGCATAAATCTCAACCATACAGTTTTTACTTTATTATTCCACGTGCAAGTCAATATTGGCCAAGTTTTATGAGACGGAGGGAGTAGTATTTTTAACAAACAACATTTTGATATCGTTTTCATATTACAAGTACTTTGTATATAAATATGTTATCATTCAAAGTCTAGCATCGTTAATTGTAAAAGTTAAAGACGCCTAACTAAAAAGGGACTGTGGGAATATTAATATAAAAGTAATTTGCAGTATGATTGATTAGATGATGGATCTTTATAAAATGTTTATGATTTAAACTCCGCAGTAAACCTTTTAATTTGGATTATTATTATCTTCTTTATGTGTAACACTTATTATACTTTTACTAAAAATTTGGCATTTTTTGTACATCGAGTATAAGACCTAGTAATCCTAAGTAATTGGTTCTACTCGCTACTCGTCTCTTGACTGAGTAGCCACCGAGTACCGATTTAACTACTTAGATTCAATCATCTCTATGGATTATTGTCACCTACATTAATTAACACACTAGCTAATCAAAGGAAACATGAGTAATTGACCCATCATAGGAAAACAAATAATATGTCATCTAGGGAGTGCTTTCATTTTATTTTATTTGACTTGACGCAGTAAACTTGTAGGCATATAGCCTGCTATGTTTGATCATCTCTGCATTTCATCTTTGTATTGAATACAGGTACGTCGTGGAGAAAGACAGTAAGAATAATGTAGTGTTTGTGTCAAGAAACTACTTCTCGGCTGATAAGAAAAGACGCATATTTCGTGTTGGATCGCTGAAATGGCTAAGTGGGAGCTATCCTGCACATGCAAATCAACTTCAATGCAAGGTACGCATGTTCTTTTCACTGAGCTAGACATGCCTTGGGTTCTTTGATCACCCCATCTTCTTTGTTTCATTCTCTTTATTTGATCAGACTTGTCAAATTCTCGATCATTATTAGAAGAAAAGCTCATGCATGAAATTTTTGTGTTGAATCTGCCTCGCCCGGTATTTTACTTCTCAACTATCCTTAAGTATTTAATTGGCTGAGGCTACTAGTGTCTAATATGAACAACATATTTTTAAGCTAAATTTATAATCCGTATATCTAGTATCTAAGTGAATATTGAAGTGTCATTCCCTTTCATTTCAACCACAAAAAACAACTTTTACAATATCTTTTTCAGCTGCCGCACTCAAACAAGTACTAGCCTGACAGGTAAATAGTATAAATTGTACCATAAGTGGTGGTATTGATGCATTTTGGCACCCCAATTACTGAATGAAGCAAAGGTTTGTCAAAATCATTTGATTTGATAGTTGGTTGCGATAACTTTCTAATTAATTAATTACACATAGCTTTTTAGAGAAAGGATGTGAAGCTCAGGTTGTAAGATCAGATTGTTCTGGCCGGAATTTCTAATGAGACAGTAAATGTACTTAAGAGTACTAATTTACTTCATTTAGTAAATACATCTTACCATTGTTTTAAAACTCGCAAGGCGCTAGTCGGGCAGTTGAGGGGCGCATAGCGCGTAGGCACTGGCTAGGCACCGACTAGGCCGATTTTTTAACCGACTAGACCGATTAGTCCTCTACACTTGGGGCCGCCTAGGCACCAACTAATCACACCGACTAGGCAGATTTTTAGAATAAAATGCCTCTTACCAATACGTAAGGTACCATTTGAACTTTTTACCAGTGTTGGATATAAACTGTAAGGCTTGGATGGCTTGGATGTTTTCGCTATATTTGGACATAACTTGTAGCTGATACAAACAACAACATCCAAGCCTGAAGTCCCAAAAGAGTTTGGGGTTGGCTAACATGAATAGATATATGATTGAGAGCTAAAAAAGGATAAAAAAGATAAGGTAAGATAAAAAGAAACCAAAGTTAGAAAAGATAAAAAAGATGTAATAAAGATGAATATACAAAAGAGAAAATAAAAAAGAAGGCAAATTACATGCTTTATGTGCTGTCTCGTATCTTGTGGAAACAATCAATCACTAGTGGTTGATAACATCACTTGACATGTCAATATTATATCATTTATACATTAAATTCTTCAATTTATAGCAACAATTTTATAGGTTCGCCATGGCCCCACTCTCTACAACTGTAGTTTGGCAATGGAAGTTGACAACAATGGTAAAATAGTTGGCGTTGTCCAGCTGTCTCAAGATGACCAAGGGCTGGCAGCAGGTCAGTTTGCTGCTTTCTATGATGGGATGACCTGTCTTGGCTCTGGCATCATCATGGATTCTTGGGATGATCAAGGGTATCCAGTATGCGAAAGGGCTCTTGAAATAGCAAGAATGGAGGATAAGTCAACGCTTGGCAGGCCAGTGAGAATAACAGTTAAATCGGGTAATAATCATTTAAAGGAATCTGATCCCAAAGATCATAGAGAGAATCTAAATCCTATTGTTGGTTCTGAAACTAATGAGCGGAATATGTCTCACCAAGGAGAGGATCACAGAGTATTGAATTGGTTAGAGTGGCTAAAGGAGAAGTGGTTACAAGTTTTTTAGTGTGTTTATAGGTTGTATTATTGTATATGCGTAGGATCTATCCAGGTTGCACCTAATGATAAAACAGAAATGCTAGGGGTACCCCATTTTGTGTACCACATTCGGACACACGGTCTGTCTACGCAGACAACTCTATTCGGAACTACAAGGTTGTCTGTATACATACTACTCAAGACATACAGTGTGTGCGAATGGGGTACACAAAATGGGGTACCCCTAGCATTTCTCATGATAAAAAGCAAAACCATAATCTTTGACCAGATTTATGATTTTACGTAGAGCTTTAAGGAGTGTCCATGTAAGCATGCTTTTGCCACTAAAGTGCAATATCCTGGACTTATTTTAGAGGGAGGTCTTGATTTGGATGATGGCATGATGCGTCATTCTTGTTTCTCTTCATCTCAATTTATGGTCTTTACCAACCTCCTTTCTGTTGGACTTCAGGCTGATCACACCACCAGGGATTACCATTCTTACATTTTTCAGGACATATTCTAAAATATCTTCTTTATCCATGATTGTATATCCTCAAATTTGTATAGCAGGCTCCATTTAGAGTTTAGACTCCCCCCTGCGTTGTTGTCTTGTTGATGTCATAATCCTATTATTTGACATGAGGCCCTCTCTTAATTTAATTTACACAAATGTCAATTAAAGCTCATGCACTTAGGCATTTTCAATGACATGTGTGATTAGGGTTGTAAACGAATCGAATCGAATAGTGAGTAAAATTATTCGTATTCGTATAACTTGACGAATATTCGTATTTGTATTCGTATATTATTCGAATCGTAAAAAAGATTCGTATTCGATTCGTTAATGATATTTGAATATATTTATATTCGAAATTTCGAATTCGAATATTTGTAGTTTAAAAAAATTCACATATTAAAATGATGATGTATTGTATGTATTTTTGTCGATTTTCCAAATATGCCTATTAAATGAACTATTTTAAAAATATAGCTACTTCAAAAATCAAATGGAAACCATTCAAACAAATAAACATTGTAAAATCAATTACTTAAAAAAATCTAAATCTATTAATGAATATGTATTGCCTTTTTTTGCTATTAATTTAATCTAAATTATTACTCCGTATAAATTATAAATATAATGAATATAGATATCAATTTGTATACATACAAATTGAATATATTTGAATAATATACGAATCGAATACATGTATATTTGTATTCATATTCGAATACTTAATCTGATTCGTATTCGGATTCGATTTTTTTGAATTCGAATCGTCAATTTCGAATTCGAATCACGAATCGGATCAAAATTATTCGATTCGTTTACAATCCTATGTGTGATACTCCCTCCGTCCCTAATAAAGGACTCGCACAAATGTGTGATAAGTATGAATGGCGAATACATTAAGATAGTGAGTATTGTGTGATGAAAAGTGGCGAATCACAAATTCTTTGTCAAAAAAGAAAAAAGAAGATAATTTTGGAATGAACAAAAAAAGTTTGAAGATAATATACAAGAGAAATTAGCCTAAATAGGAATAAAAACGTTTGTAAATTCCAAAATAGGACTGCTATGTTTTTATTCCCAAAATAGATCTAATTATTGTCATGTTTTGGCAAACCAGACTTTAAACATGATTGTATTTTCCAAACTTAGCAGTAATTATTCCTATTTTGAGAATAAAAACATGATAGGACCTATTTTGGAATTTACAAACGTTTTTTGTCCCATTTCGAGAATTTTCCCATTGGACAATAGAGTATATAATTGAGATGTACGCGTGCACATTGAGACTAAAAAATCCAAATGTACATAGATATGTTCCCAATTTCTATTCAACCGAAACTTTTGGTACAGGAAAACCAGTCCCAGGCCATCTTTTGAAAATAATTTTGTGATCTTTATCATGCGTAAAAAACTAATCCAATTAAAAACACCTCATCTATTCTCTACCCAAAACATTTATTCATGTAAAACAAAATATATAATTATTTTCCCAAATGCAAAATTATTACATAGTTGTAGGCATGTAGCCGGGCCAGGTCGGGTCGGGCCTGGGCCTAGGCCCGGTCAAGCCTTTTGTGATTGGGGGAAGGCCCGGGACTGGCCCGGATTGCCACCGGGTCCGGTTCAGGCCGGGCATGACGGGGCCTTGGGCTGGGTTGTAATTTTTTTTCTTTCCTAACTGGGTAACCCCCCTCACCCCCCCCCCCAACATCAAGCCCAACCCAAGGAAGCCCAAAAAAACTAAAAAAACAAAAAAGAAAACAGTTTGAGGCCCGAACCGGGCCCGGACGGGTCCCTATTTAAGTAGCCCGCCCCCGCTTAGGCCTTCAAACCGGGTCAAGGACCGGTTTCAGACCCGAAGCACCGGGCCGGTCCGGTCCCGCACAGTAGCGGACCAGGTGGCCCAAACCGGGTCCATGCCTGTATAGTTGTCTAGGAACTCTTTTTTATCAAATAAACACAAGTGAACAACAATTTTGAATGGACTAAAAATCTAAAATAATATCAGGAGAATTTGACTTTGCACCTCATTTTTTGAGTGATATTGGATTTTACACCCTATTTTCAAAAGACTTGGACGTCACACCCCATTCCACTCAAAAATTCTTTAACTTTGCATTCCATTCAGAAACTTTTCTTCACTTAATACATGCCATTGGCTATGTATTTCAAATTATACCATAACAAACATGAAGTTGCCAAACTAGCTCACAATGACAATATTCTTGAGATAAGTTGAACATCAATGCGAAAAACCTAACAATCCTGGCGGCTGGTGCTGAAGGTGTTATCTTTTTTTTCTTTATAAGACCGCACGATGTGTATCCTGACCAAAAAACTAAAACACAAGATATTTATGTTAACTATTTATCACGTATTTGCTCAATGGTTAACGAAGCAAAATATTTATTCCCAAAATAACAATGGAATTTGTGCACTCCTCATTTATCCTCATTATTTTAACATGAATAAATATTTGATTCGTTCCAACATTCCCCCCAACAGGCCAGAAAACATCTACTTCTCTTCCAAGCGGCAGAGAATTGAATCTGCAAAACTCTGTTGCCTGCAAAGAACAGAGAGTGAACTCATTAAAAATTGATTGTTTCCCTTCGGTTTCTCTTTCTGGCTCTGATATTATGGATCGATTCACGTTAACCGTTCCCAAAATCTTTTGGGAATAAGGCTTGGAAGTTATTGTTGTTATTTTCTCTTTAGTTTATGCTCATTCTATTCGAGTGTGACGTATCTCTCATTCAAGAGATAAACTTAGCACTTCATAAGACATCACTATTCCTACTGACTATCTAAGGATTCTAAGACCACATTTAACAAAACACTACAGGCAAAAACAGTGGCACACTTGGAGTTAAGCAGCTAGGCTGCCTGAGCAAAAATAGAAATAGTCAGCCCAAGGCAACCTAATACTACCTCTGTAATGTAAAGATCTTCCCACTTCCCTTTTTAACCGTAACTAAATAATCTTCCCATTTCTAAATCTTCCCATCATACCCTCAATAATTTTAAAAATAATACACTATTACACCTACTTTTTTTGGATTATCCTTCATTGCACCACACTATTTTATCACCTTCCCATCATACCCTCACTAATTTATATCCCCTATCACTATTCATAATCTCACCCACTTTCCATTTGGGAAGATTCCAGCGTTACGAAGGTAGTACCAAGGTAAAAAGGATCTAATATACCTTGGAACTATAAGTGAGTTCACATATGTACACCACAACATTTTTGGACCAATTAAACAGAAAATTGTAACATTAAAATAATTATACCCATGAACTTATTAAACAACATATATATCCTCTCAAATATCGGACATAAAGAAATGTTAGAATTTCTGTGTTTAATTGTTTCAAAAGAAAATTGAAGGTATATTTTAAAATTTTTCTTCCCCCAATGATTAGGTGAATGTTTTTAAAACAATGTATACAGTTCATTTTAAATTAAAATACATGTAAAGTCACTACTCCATAACACATAAAGGCATAAAGCATTAAAAGACTTACTTCCGCTCTCGGTGCTTTGGGTTGGGGCGAGAATATTTTAAATATCCATCCCAAGGAACCTTCTTAACACCTGCTCTAATAGATATGATGTCCCTCACCCTAAAAAAAGAGATGGTATGCATAAGAAAATCAAGGGCGTCATACACTACACTTCAATCGCTACTGGAAAGAATGGACTCAATGGAGTAGGCTGGTAACAAAATGTTCACCTCTCTGCGAACTCAATTGGCGTCTCACCGGGCCTTAGATTTTGAGGCTCTAAGTACCAAACATCGCATACAACAGCCCATGAGGTCATCAATTGCAGCAGGTGTGTAGTGAAAGATTGCCTGTGAACAATATCAAAAGCAAGCATGAGTTTTCTCAGAGTTGAAGAAAGTTAGAAATACCAGTAAAGGTTTTTATATGTGTGCCAATGGGAAAATGATGAAAAGCAACTAATGTGCTTCATTTTCAAGTTACACAAGAAAATTTGATAATTTCATTATATGAATAACATGAAATCAAAATCAACATCTTATCACTAAAAATATACATTTAACATCATTGTAAAGGATATTTAAGAAAATATATACATTAAAAAACTCATTAGATGCTTCTTATGTCGTGCCTCATGGGCAAATATTAGAAAGCCCATTTTCAGCAAGCGGGTTTCTAATGTGTGTTAGTTGGCACATGATGAATATTTGCCCAAAAAGCCAAATTTTTCCTATTCAAGTGGGACAGAAGTAGTAGCACGTAAAATTGAAAGTGAATTCATAAGCAAAAGAAGGAACGGACTGGGCAAGCACCATTAAGAGCTTACTTTTTACTATTCCAGAAGGCATCAACAAAGATTTTGTTGTACTTTATTGCGACCGGGCAAACTGTGCAGCCTAGCTCAAATGCACCCTATTAACTATAATAAGATAAGCAAATGCTACACTAAAATTGAGAGATTATAAATGTCAGCAGAAAAGAGCAATGCCTTCTTGAACATGACAGTGTAGTGGTTATTCACACAAGTTCCTTCTGGGAATATAAGAAGGGGATTATTATCAGCCCCTTCAACGTGTTCCCTAAGCCTGAAATAGATATGATAATAAGATGAATAAACCACCAACAGAAATGCCACACATATCCAATTATCCCTATACACATTTTGAAAAAATAAGGTACTCAAGGTCAAGATATTATCACATACTTCCTAGCAACAATTTCACGATCTTTAGCCTCTGAACGATTAAACCAAATGCATCCTACACCTTCTAAAATTGTGCTCTGCAAAAATCCTGCAAAAATTAAGGCATCTTGTTTACTGTAAAATGTAAATCCTCAGTGATAGCCACACAAATAAACATTAAGGATGGCTTATTACTCATAATTCCCCTTCTCTTTTTTTCCTTTTGTTTTGTTAATAACTTTGAGGGAATGCAAACAATGATTATAGTGATAGAGTGATAGACTCAATGTGATATGTCATTGTGGCAGCAAATCAGCGCACAAGAAGGTCAAGAAATAATGAAGGGTGTGTGATTACCAAGGAAGTGAGAAATAATCTACTATTACCAGTGAGTTATGTGATGCATTAGTTTAGTCCTTCAGTTATGTAGTAGAGCTACTGTACTAGCATTATATTGGACTTCGGATATATTCCACATAATACTAAAAGCGAGAGATTCATCTCAAGGAGTTT